ACATCACCAACCCTCCCGCCCCTCTCCTCGCCGAGAGGGCCAACGTGTCTCAAGGCCAAACAGCCACCCAGTACACTCCCAGGTGCACTACACCGTTGATGCATAATTGTACGAAATTTTACAATGCCACATCGTTTTCTCCCTTACCTTTCTTTATCTCTCGTACAGCATATAAAGAGAGCTTTATAACCGGTACGATAAGTACTCCATTTTTTTTATCGTCATCTCACGTGTATGACGTTATTTATGTATAATAAGCAGCTTTACGTATAGCTCTGATTTTTAGTCCGATTCTAGGCCGGTTTCTTGCTCTGAGGTTAGGTCAGATGAGGATAGACAGGTGGCGTTAAATGAAAGTTTGATAGACCGTTGGTAATGGGGATACCATTTTTCCTCTGATTAAGGAAGTACACGCCCTGATGTAACGGCGAAATGTCCAACGAGAAGTGGCAATAGCAATACTGATTATACCATGATCAGCTAAATAGGGTCAATATTCAAAGTGTTCTGGCCAGGTACAAAAAACAAGAAAGCAGAGAAAATGTTAACGAGGCTAATAGTCTAATAAACCGACTTATGAATTCGAGACACGCACACCTCTGCCGGCAGTATGCCAGAGATTCGACGACCTTGCTGCGGTTTGCTGTGCTTCGCGAACCTTCCAAATTTATCAATGACAATAAGGTTATAAAATTTCACAAAACTGGACAAAAGCCTGTTTTCCTTTACTTCTTATTCCAAGTAATCTATTGTTGTTCACACTGGATGTTAATCGATTCTTTTGGAATTTCTCATCATATTAGGAGGTTAACCATCGACCAATAACTAGATCCACGTTCATCGTTGTGCTGTTGCAATGCAATGTCAGCTTTGATGGGATTGGTATGATAATGGAAGCATAGATTAACACAGGGTTAAGGTCAAACGACCCTCTCGTTCTCTAGCCTTCCGGCAGTGCACCCTCTGTGTGACGTAAGCTTAACCCTTACAGAGGTCATCGCTGCTCTGTTCCCCGTGTCTTTTTCCCTCCCTGAAAATTGCCCCGTGAAACGTGACCCTGATTGACAATTACTTGAACACGTCAGAGAGTAAGTAGAATTCAAGTTCGAATTGTTTTGTGTAGGATCTAATAAGTACTCATGACAACGCAATCCGGTCGAGTGCCGCTCTTAATGGACTCATGACACGAGCTATGTAGCTAGAACATCGGAACAGCGGAAAGATATGCGATTTTTTACACCATGGATCGGTTAGACTAATTTAGGTCATGAGGAAGATCGATTCTGAAGCTATATTAAATTGCAAGAAAATTTTTTTACATTTTCATCATTTCCTATAACCTTTTGCAGTTTCACTGGTTTTATCGTGAAATCACTATTTCATATTAGTCTCACTAATGGTTACGGAACACCCTTTACTTCTTGACTCATTTCTTTTAGAATAATACACTTTGTAACATTATTTGTAAGTATTTGTATCTATAATAAATATTTGTCATGTATTGGGCCTCAAAGAGTTAACATTACATTTCTACAACAATTTGATAAAAAATAATATATTTTCCCACTTTTACAAGTATCCACACACAGCTACGTTAGAATTAACACACAATTGTACTTTCCTTATTAGAGATTTAATTGAAAGCATAAAATTAACGTATGCGAGCATAAATTCTTCATTTCCTCTTTCCTGCCAGCGAGCAGCTTTGTATTACATGAATGAAATTCTGCATCTTTAATTTATTCCCTGGCTAATTGTATTTTACGTACATTATTACAAGCGTATGTTTCCAGTTTCTTGTCTATCGTTATACATCAGATCGTTTTCACTAAGGAATAACGAGTGCTGTATAAATTTCACCGTCGCCAATAAAATCTCTCACGTGTTAGCCTCTTAACGAGCTTCATGAATTCCGTCCAAGGCTGCCGGCCTCTTTGTTGCAACAATCTGGAAGGCCTTTCGCCTCGTTTCACGTGAAACCAGTGTGACCAATGCACAAAAACAAAGATCCTCTGCTGCATCACCGTTAAACTTTCCTATTCATCTGATCAACACCAAAAGCAATCTAGAGAAATCAGAACAACTGTAAGATAGCATCTATTTCATCGGAGTTATCACGAGCTACCCTTAAGACCCGCTCGCACGAAATATATCTATTAATAAATCACACTCTTCTAAAAATAATCCCCTTTCTTGAACGACATGGACGGAACAGCGTCGCAGAAGGAGATCTAATCATTCGAGCCTTGATAATTACGAGGTTTTGTCGCTGGACGAAAACGAAGGCTCACGAATATTGCATGCTCCCATTCACTAAACTGATCTTGCCACCCTTATGTATCTGATAGTTCGCTTTCTGGTATACGCAGGAAGGGAATACACGTTTAAAGTGGTCATTGCAACCATTGGAGTAATTATTTCAATATCGATACATCTCAGATGACAGAAAAAATTGAAATTTTATGTAATTGTACTTGGAAGAAGAATTAAATTGTATTGCATAGAAAAAATGTGAAAAAGGTGAAATTTTAGAAATGGAAAAAAGGAATGTAGGGACGAGAGTCCATTCACGGATAGTCCAACGAGTTTTCATCGTAATTTACGAGGCTGTCCCCGTAAATTACAATCTGCAGTCGAGTATGTACGTGCAAGTCAATGTTGGTTGCAAGGTCAAGGCTACGGTGCAACAATCTTCCGGCCAGAGGTATGCGATGCCGATCAAATGGTAGGCGCAACGAAAGTACGCGTGGGTGCACCCTCTGGGTTCACCATGGGTGCTACAACCCTTAACCTTTTCACGCATTTACCCGGTCGTACACCTCTTTGTTGATTCGCTCGTTCTGGTACAGCAATCCTACAATATTATGTTTCTATCTGAGACAAGAAATTTTTTTTAACATTTCTCTTGTTTTCATTTTTTTCCTTGTAGAATCATTTTATGCTCTCTGTAAGTACTTGTGTCTATTTGTGAGAGAACCTTGGAACGGATGTTGGTTTTTTAACTATGTAGATTAATCTGATCATCTTTCGAGTGACCAGAATCTATCTGCATATGCATCATCGATTACTCGTAGCCTCTAGTTCCAGCGAAAATGAAATCCAGCACTTTCTAGAACACACTATAGCCAACATCATTTTGATAACGATACCAGCTACTAGTTATCAAGCATATTGAAACGTTCAGACTTCCTTGCGTTATTACTCTCCTTCCCTTTCATCTTGCATAATTTACATTCAGAAAAATATTCCCTTGTATATATGCACGTATTTGTTCGTAAGCAAACAGCGGAACAGTTGTCGAGTTTAACACTTCCTCCTATAAATTGGAGCACTTGCTAGAAACGTAGAGGTGGAGGGTGAATATCCCCCTTGAGCATTTACCTTGATGATAAGAGAGCGGAGACCGTCGAAAGGTCGCCTCGGTGTACTTTAACTCTTAACCTTTGGCGGCGGGTCATTGACCGTGAATTATCATTCGTACCACGTGATACGTAAAGAACTCTATAC